AACTATATTTTTCAACCTGTTACCCTTTGACTAATACATTAGTGATAATATGGTTAGTCAAAAGTATTTTACTTTGTTGCTCTGTTATCTTCAAAATATAACAACCTTTTGGCATGCAATGTCACTATTAAATCTTCATCTTGAAAGGTCTATTTTAAGAGTGTTTCTGTGTATCAAATTTTAACATTTTCTTTTTCCCAATATTTGGAATAATTCTCTTAAAAGAATTTAATATCTCCCCTCTAATTCTTTGGGGACTATCTCTGTGAAATATGACTTGAGTTTTTCTATTATAAAAAGAAATTATTGCTATACAAATGGGATATTCAATTTTTCTAACATTTTTGTATCCAGTTATTGTTTTTCTGACAATTATGAATTTTGGTTAGATGAAGATTTCATGAAGTTAAATTTGTCTTATCCATATCTAGGGAAACTATAATAATCTATCATTTCAGCTTTTGTTATATTTTCATAAAATTTTTTTGTTTATTATAAATTACATGCATTACTACAAATAGACTATATTTACCACCCACCACACATGAGTAGAGAGCAGATCCACCACAAAATGGATTGGTGGTTGATTGAGAAAGGGTGAAATTTGTAAATAACTAGGCCTGATTGAGGACTGAAATTCAATTAACCAGTCCCAAAATGTTTCTTTGGGTTCAACAAATAGTAAAAAAAAGAAGGAAAGAGAAATTAAGTTAAAAGATTAGTCGAAATAAATTAACATGCCTTAGAAAGGTAGAGAACTGAAGTCAAAATTAAACCAAGCAATTGCTACCACATATGGTCTGATCCTATATATTTAGAGATCATAGATAAAATCTGAAGGATCTGCAATGTCATTGGTCTTGAGCTGGCATCTTTGCTTCAGTTACTTTCCTCACAACTGTAACATAGGTTCCCTGTACCTTTTTTTTTTTTATAAATACTTTCATGATAATTGTTCTGATGAAATTTCCTTTATGGCACCTAGAGGTTATAAATTTAAACAGTACTCTATTAGCAACAAGGTCTCATCATTTTACAGTTGAAATGGCTAATATAACTAAGTTCTATGCTAACTGTTTATTTTCTTGCATTTCTTCCTTGTGGAATTCTCTTCCAACTTCTAGCTTTCCCGTTAAGTTTGCATTTAAATCTTTGAAGATCAATGTCAATCATTATTAGCTTAATTGCTCTTCTTTTATTGTTTGCACTCCTTAATGTTTTTCTTTTTTTTATATTTTTTCATTTAGTAACTTCCTGCAATATTTTATTGCCTTAGTTGGAGTGAAATGATTAAAAAAAATTAGTAAACTGGATTAAAACAGTAAACCAAAATTCATCTTAAATCTCCTTTTCACCAGATGAGCTGAAGGAACAATATTTCTCAAGAAAATATTTATATCAAAAGTATGCTTGAAAAGGAATCTTTGCAAGATAAATCAAAGGATTAAACTTTGTTTTGAAATGGTGTTATGATTCTAAAGAAACTGTATAGCTCTAAGAAAAAAATCTAAGGGATAATTGAAAAATTAGATGTTTAATTTTCAATGTCATCTTTGTGTAGATGCCAACAAATTTTGGCATAAGTTATAAAGAAATCTCCATTTGTAAATTAAAAAGTACATTAGAGTGAAAGCAGGTTTTGTAACATGGATTAATGGGCAAATTGAGCAAATTACTTTGTCACTAGAGACCTGAAATTCTTAGATAAGGAACACCATTACTGGTTTTAGGTAGGTATGCTGCTCAACATTTGTACCTGATGCAAAAATGCATCGAGGAATGACCAAAGATTATGATGTGCCAGAGGGATGAAAAGAATAGTACAAGAAAGTGCTGCACTCAATTTGTCATAATGGTAATAAATGATACTCCACAGCAAAGAACACCAGCCAGAATTTCAACAAAAAGGAGACTATCCCCACATTTGCCCTCTAATGGTCATTTGAACTTCAATGATAACCCAATGGAGTTGGAATTTTGCTACACTGGTCACCCAAGAGAATATTATTCCCCAAATCAACTTAATTTTGAGTGGCTAGGACTTTAAGAAAATTATCAATCACTTGTCAAAACCAACTGATTCTGGGCAGTGAATAGGTGCAGAGGTCAGTTAAATTCAGATTCAACTCTCCCACCATCTCAAATTCAACTTCACATATCAAACTGAACTAACCTTTTTTTATTATTTTTCTTTGATTCATTTTGTTACATTAAAATAGTGAAACCTCTTTTTTAAAATTTTTTTTTTTTTAACTCTTCTCTTCAGCTCTATATTACCAAATTAGGCCTAAGTGCCATCTGATGACTTGAAATTGGGAAATATCTTTCTCTATCCTAAGTTCAAATAACAGCAAAATCTTTCAGCCATAGAAAAGCAAAATATGACTTCATTTCTTCACCTATTTCCTTGACTTTTATTATATTACAATATTGTATATCTTTCATTTTAGTATATTTTGGCTGATATATTCTTTGGGTTTTCAATCTTGCTTGTTCTTATCTTAAAACTATCTAGTATAAGACCTTCCTACTTGGTCCTGTGAATATTGTGTTCTAGTTGAGAAGATAAGTCCTAAGCGAACAGGGAAATCGTGGCATCCTTCTGGAAGTGTCTTCATGAAAATTGACTTTCCCAGACACCGTAGCTTGGGACTTGGGGTTGGACATTGGGGGAAAAGCAATGCAGGACTGAACAGTATAGAAAAGGATTGTCAAATGATGATGAAGCAACTTCAGATTGGATGCAATATACACCTGAAGAATCAAGAATCTGTCAGCTGAAATTTTGTTAAAACAACAAAGATGAATGCAGTAGAATAACTTGATGGAACAATGAAATAAGTGTTTAATTTTCAATTTATAAATCACTGTTTAAATGATTGAATACAAAATCTGCCTAACTGATCTCACAATTGCCTGCTTGCATATCCTGTTGATTTAATTCCTAATGGAAGTGTTTTAGTCCAGACTTTTTTTTCCAGCAGTTTTCTCTTCTGAAATGTTTGAATCATTTTAACTTTTTATTCTATCCCATTACTGGCAACTTTAGTCATCTGCCAACTGACCATGTATTCAATTGTGCTGCTCATTGGCTATGAATTGAAATAGAATTGTTAAAATTGAATCAATTTCTGGCTGACTAAATAATGCTCACTATGGTACATTTAACCACTTAAGACTTCTCATGCAATTGGTCATATATATAAAGCCTTGAGCATATACTGACCAAGACTGTCTAATAATTTACATGCAGAAGTAACCTGGTTTCAGATAAAGCTGAGTGAGTAAATGCTTAGCATTGGCATTGAACTGATTTTTTTTTTTTTTTAAAGATATTCAAGCAGGTAAATTATTAATTATATTATTTATAAATTATACAATGGTAATTTTTAAGCAATTTTGCAATAACATTGAACCTATACATTTTGTTGATAAATATTAAGCTAAGCAAATATTCATAATTGAATGATTATGAAGTTTTATTTAACATAAGTTGACAGTCCATCTTTGAGTTCAATATGGTGATATCGGTCATGTTGACAAGATGAGGGTGAAAAAGATTAAAAATTTAGGGGGATGTTAAAGAATAGCATGGATTTATTTTAATTTCTATGGTATTATTTTAAGAATAAAATCTCAACATATATTTTAGGATTATAATGTAAATAAGCAATCTATTCTTATTGTTTCAAATAGAGATCAAGATGTTTGGTCTATAGTCACATTGTTTTACAGTATAGAATTAATTATATATTAAAGAATTAGTTCTCTCTAAGTTACAGGAATATGAAAAACATTTTTCCTGAGTTATATAGAAGTTGAAGTTTTTAAAAATATCTTTTAAGCTTTTAGATTCTAATTGCAATAATAAAAAGTTACTTATTTCTTAACATAAATGTTAACAAGAATAATTCATTTACTGTCAAAACAATAGACTGTAAAGATACAATCATCTGCTTCATTGTATTAAGATTGTTGGGGTTTTTTGTCTTAAGGAAATGTCTATTTCACTACCAAGATCTTCATTTTGGTATAAGTTGAAAAAAAACCCAAAACTGAATAATTTAAGCAAACAGCATGAATGTTTTTAGCATAAGATTTTAAAGTTTAAATGGAATGATTCCACTTTTCCTTAATTATTGAAATTTTGTCCCTTAAGATTTGTATTGTAGTTTTTCATGAACATGTCTGAAAAAATTTAAACAAAAATTGATTGTTTTATCTAAACTACTTTTTACAAGGTGTATATATATATATATATATATATATATATATACAGGAGCAAATGGTTTCTATTGTGATTTTAATATTGATATATTGGAAAACCTGTAATGAACAAATAAAAGTAAGTTATCTCTTAAAACATGATAAACTTTAAGCAAAATCAGATCATTCATCAAAGGACCACATTAAAAAATAAAAAAAAATTATAAAAATAATCACCAGAAAAAATTAAAAGGGAGCCTGTTTCAAACTACTACAATATTTCTCTCATGTTTGAGAGAAAGAAATTTTGCCAGATATTCTTTATTTCTCATTTGACAATTTTTTTTATGCAGTTGTGCTTGCATTTCATGAGTATCTATTAAAACAAATTAGTTATACAAGCCAGATGAATGATTTTTTTTTTTTTAGATCCAAAACTGTCATGATCGTCCATATGGAAACATTTTATATTCATGCATGTCAAACAGCTAATAGGAGCTGCAATTTCACAACTTAATAAAAGGGAATTTTATGGATGATCTCAAAGTGAACCATCAAAATGAAAGATTATTGATTAAATTGTTTTAAACAAAAAGTTAATTATTTCCAGTTTTAAGTTAGAAGTTAGTGTTAACATTTTTTAAAATATCATCTTTTTAAATTCCATATTCAAATTCTGGTTTAAAGTTATTGCAAAGTCTTAAACAAAAAAAATTACATGTCACACAACTCTAGGCAAAAGCTTTGTGTGTTTGCTTTTGTATTCTTAGTGTTTCTTTTTTATTCTTTTTCAGATTTTATCAATATTTGCCTTTGCTACAACATGTAGTGTGGAAACACAAACAGGTTTTTCTGTCTCATGTCCAAAACTTGAGGAATATACATATCCAATTTCATATCCATTTGTGTAAGTATACAGATTTTCTAATTATTTGTTTTGACAAGTTAAAATAGTAAGTGATTGAATAAATTTTAAAATTGTTTTGTATTGAATCATATAAAATTATTTGTAGGTACAGACCAAAAGAAAATATTGAGCAATTTCAATAATTTCATGAATCAAGATACTTGAATATCTATTATATTGGAACGTCTTAGTAAAGAAAAATTGTTATCATTATACTGAGTAATAGTTTCTACTTGTCACAAATACAAATTTGTAATCTCAAAGCAGAGCAATTTAGAATATAGATCTCCAAATGAAAGAACAAATGGAGTAAAAATCTACTGTTCATAGCATTTAATTTTAAAAAAGTGCCCATTACAAAGTAAAGCAATATATTATATTTTTATTATAAGAGAATATAATAAAAACATTTTGAGATCACTACACAAAAGCATTCATGTTTCAATACTATGATTGTACTTATTCAGACAATGGTAAGTATCTGACCAGATACAACTGAGGTTCTCTGGAGACTGTAGTTGAAGCCAATGGTAGTTTTATTCAATAAATTTACTGTTTAGTATTTCAAGATACCTTACATGAACATACCTTACATGAACATGTTTGCAGGTTATGTTCTTTATGAAGTCTGGCTCTCAATTCACAATACCAGATGTACCAACAAAGCTACATAAAGAAAAAAAATAAAGAGGTAAATAGAAAAAATAAATATTGATTTTTAGTTAAGGGTAAGTTAATACTGTTTGATAGCTTAAAAGTGGCAGGAAAATCTTACATTTAAAAATATTTGCAAAATCTGACACAAACTTAAATTTTAAGATGCATGAAAATGTACATGATTGTTTTTTGTTTAAAGTTGGAACTTTTTTGCACCTTTTCTGAGGTAACCCATAAATCTATGGCCAGCAATGAAATGGCTTTAGATCCACTTATTGTATTGACAGCTCATTAAATAGTAATATCTTGTTACTACAATGAGTTTGTTCTAGCTAAGTGGGAAAATATAAACATATCTCTTTGTTACTCTGTAGTTTAGAAGCTTCAAAGTGCCCAAAACATGGTCAACTTAAAAACTATCTACAAAAATTTTTAAGATCACTCTTTGTTCACGGGTTCAGAGAAAGCCTTTAAAACATTTTGCATCTATTTAGTTTTTTTCTTTTACAACTTTCTCTAATTTCATTAAACATTTTTTCTTTTGAATGACTAATATTACAGTGTCAAAAATACAACAATTTAATTTTGCTTTTTCAACCTTAAATACAATGAAATAAAGAAACAAGTATTCTTTCTTTGTTGGTTAGAAAATAACTTATGCAAATATTGACTTTTTTCTTGAAAGAAGTAAACATTGGGGCAGTAATGAAAATATTGAGTAACTAAATCATCTCCAGTTTATATTTCTTACAAGCTTTCTTTTTGAAAAATTATTTACTAAACACTAAATTAAAAGTCTTAAATATTTGAAATTTTTTTTTCTATGGATGTAATTTTATAAAAGATCAAATATTTTGAAATTGTTGCAAAGGGTCCATTAGTTTTAAGAAAAACAAAAAAAAATAGTGTCCTTTACAATACAATTTGATTTGAGATTTGTGTTACATCTACTCTTCAAATGTTCACAAAACAATGCTGCATTGCATATACAATAGTTCTGCTTTTTGTCAATGTTTAGTTGTTGGACTAGCAATGATTATCATTATATCTTTACTTAACAGGAACTGTCTTTTCTCCATGAGCTTGCAACAGCCTTTGACTAATAAACAGAAGCCAGTCTATTTTCTTGGCATAATAAAATAAATTCTCATATAGCTGATATTTTTCTCTTTTGCTGATTTGTTTAAAACATTAATACACTATTCTTGATTTTAATATTGACAATAAGATCGATACATGTATTCATATTAAAAAACAGAAAAAGGTTATTCAATAAAATAAGTATCAGCCACAAAAATGTCCTCATGTTGGCCATCATGTCAATGAAGATTTTTTTTTTTTTTCCAGTTACAATTGTAGCTCATATTACACAAGCTGGATACAATTTTTTTTTATTTTTAACAAATCACCATACATACAATTTAGGGTACCATGTTTAGTGGAATAATTTAAGCATCTAATTATAATCTAATTACAATGAATTCAGTAAATATACAAAAACATGTGTAAGACAAGGATGTGTCTTCTCACCAGACTTATTCAACCTTTAGTGAAGCAATCTTCATTGGTAGCCACAATCTTAATGACATTAGATATGCAGATTACATAGTGTTGATAGCAGTTACAGAAAGGAAACTACAGGAACTTCTACAGAAGGTAATAAAAGAAAAAATAATGTATGGCTCAACATGCAAATTAGAGATACCAAAATTTAAATATCTAGGAAGTGTTATAACAGAGGACAGAAAATGCAACACCAAAATCCAGAGGTGCACTGGGATAGCAAAAGTCTTCTAAAAGGTAAGCAAAGTATTAAGAAACAGGAAAATTTCATTAGAAACAAAAGAATACTGAACTGATATGCAATATCAGTCCCTCTTATATAGCAGTGAATGCTGGATTAGAAGAGAGCAAAAAGACAAATTTTACTAAGAGCTACAAAGGACAGGAAATTGTGGAGAGCTATGATAGTCCACATCCTGAAGGGACATGATACATAGAAGAATTAATACAACTGAAATCTCTGTGTATACATGCACTGAGATTACTTAACAAGCCATTATATGAAGACCAATGATTTTTTTTTTCCCTTTAGCCATAAAAATCATTACACCACTTTTGATGATCCTATTATAATTGTGCTTGTCTTTCACTTCCCTTTTTTAGTTTGCATGGCTGTTATACCCTGTCAAATAATGGACTATTCTGTTTGGATCATGTGGAAAAAAGGGGAAAAGATACTACTTAGTTTCACTGAGAAAATGAAAGAAGGGAAGATAGAAGAGTTTAAGTGAAATGAAAATGTCAATTTCAAATCTTTTCATTTGTACCCACTTCTTAAAATAATGACCAGCATTCTTTTGTTCAATTTGTTAAGCTCAAATATTTAAAAATGCAATAAGGGAATTACTACAAATGTTATTGTCATAGAACTTACACATGAGCTTACTCAATCATTAACTTAATAATTAAGATTCATCAGAATATTAAAACAGGAAAACTGGAATTTTCAGTTTAAAACTAAAAAAATTTAATTGCTACTACTTAGTAATGTTTTATAACAATTATTAACTCTTACACTATATTACTATTTAGTCATGATCTTACAATAAGAAACAAATACTGAAAAAAAAATTTGCAAATTTAATCTATAAGTTTTAAAGTTCTTTAAAATTAATTTAAAAAAACACAAATTTTGACAGAAATTTGAGCCATTTGAATTTTCATAGTATAATACCAGAAGGAATAGGACATCTTTATATAGAGACTGAAAAAACAACTTTGCCAAATCAGCAAGTTCCCAGTAGTACTTTTGTGATCCCAGGTTGGAAACTGCTACTATATCTAAATTTCACAAAACATTTCCAAATCAGAAACTTTAATTCCCAAAATCAGCTTGGAGAAAAAGACATACATACAATATAATATATAAGAAACTGAAGAAATAAAAAGTAAGCTCCATTTATTTATTGGTTTTGTTTGCTTTCATTGTGTAAATTTCAAAAACACTTTCTGGGTAATTTCTGGATATTTAATCTTATGCTCCTATAGCACGATCATAGCTTATTGTATTATGAATGTAAAACAACTTTTTTTTTTTATCTTTGAGAGGAAACCTTAATTTAATTAATGAATCTAAATTATTCTCCTATAAAATGTTATTGTTTTGTCTACAGATGTTTTGGAAATAATCACTGAATTTAAGGCATTAAACCAGACAATTTTGGAGGACTGACTGATTTAAATAATATGTAGAGCTAAAAAAAAAAGTCAATTGTAATTAGAATAAAAAAGGAAAAAAAAATCACAAAACAAGTTAAAATACAGTATTATCCTGCAGCACCTACAAATATGAAGGAAGAAAAGTCATAACTTTGGTTTCTAGATATGATCAAAAATCTGGGTTGGTTTCTGAGTTGGAACAAGTCACCAGGAAAAAAAAACTTAGGTAAAATAAGTCATATTTTGTTTAGCAATGAAATAAGCAATATTTTAACAAATGATTTTAATTTTTTTTTTTTTAAATTTGAATAAAGGGTTTTTATTTTATATTGTCTTGTCATTTATTCTAAGAAATAATTAGTATGGCTAGTTATTATTATGAAATAATAGCCTAGTGAATATATGTTGGCTCTATCACTGATATTGAGCACTTTCTAATAAGTACTGCACATATATAAATAATATATATATATATATATATATAATCTCATTTAAGCATTAATATCATAAATGCCCACCACAACAAAACGACCTCATTGCTTTTCAAAATGACTTAACAAACTAGTTGACAGTCGTCACTAAATTTTACAAAACCACTAATAATGAAACAAAGTGATATAAACAAAGATGCTAAAAACAGCCACTAAACTAAAATTAGACAATAGAATAAAACAATTAGCAAAAGTAGAATCACTTACTAAATTTAAAGACCATAAGGACAACTTCATGACCAAACCAACATTGGGAAAATAAGCAAACAAATACTAGAAAAAATATGCTCAAAACTAAGAAACATACTAAACAAACCAATCAAGAAAATTGCTCCTTCACACAATTAGACATAAAAGATTTCTACCCATCTATTAATGAACATATACTAAACAATGCATTAAACTTAGCAAAACAATACATCAATATCCCCAATGAGGATATAATATAATTAAACACTGCCAAAAAATATTTACCATTTAAACATTGATATCAATTATTTATATAAAAACGAAATACAACTTTGCTAGCAAAAAAAAAAAAAAAAAAAAAAATGATTGCAAATCCCTAAAAGTATTCCCATCCCCGCAGAAAAGTGAATGCATATCTGGAGAGATGGGTGCATGGTGACATGTACACAAATGAACACAGAAAAAAACTTACACCAATGTTAAATGCACATAAAAGGAAAAAATAAGCAGTAAATTGCTGATACCCACTGAAGAGTGGATGGACAGGTCCACCTATGAAACTCTGATGTTACCTTCAGTATCCCAACTCCAATCAGCTAAGTGACAAACACAGCATCTACTCAAATATCCATTAAAAATAATGTTTAAACAGATAACTTAAAAATGTCAGAATTAATCCATTCCTAAAATCTATATATATATATATTTATTTTATTTATCATTTAAGCATTAATATCAATTATGTAAAAAAAAACCCGAAATACAACTGCCCTAGCCCATAAAACTAAAATGGTGATATGTCGAGAGAACATACTGGAAATAGTTGGCTACAAATAGCTACAATTGAAGGAAAAGTGGAGGGAGAAAAAAAAAGCTAAGAAGTGAGTTTAAAGTGTGTGTGTGTGTGTGTGGGGTGCTTAACAAAAAAGGACAAATGTTCATGACACCCTACACTTATGCACAGGAGCACACATGAACACAAACAATACAGGAAAAAACTTAAACCAATAGGTGCAGTTAAAAAAAAAATATAAGCAGTCAATTGCTGATACCCCTGAAGAAACTCTGTAGTTGAGATGCTGAAGGTAACATCAATCAGCTGAGTGACAAACTTTTTACTTGTATGTATGTATATATATATATATATACACACACAAGATAATGTCTAGCTACTCTCATTTTCTGAGCATACCCATCTGCTAGGATGACTCGGGAACATTTGTGTTTGTTGAACAATCACAGAGCACACCTGTGGTTTATACAGTAACTACGCTGAGCTGACCAATTCTGTAGAGAACATGAAGCCTTAAATCTTAAGGCTCTAAGTTTGCTACAGAGAATTATATTGGCTGTCATATTTGCATGATTTAAACCCCCTTAAACATGTTTGTGACATATTACAGATCTCACTAAATTCATTTCAGCACCACATAACACACTCAACTTTGTTAGAGAATGTGCCAGAATAGACATACCCATGCAACAGAGACAGCACCTCAGATTCCATGCCATGTTATATAGTGGCTTTTATTCTGATAAAAGGACAAGCTATATATTAATTGGGTAGTTTTTTTTGTTTTTTTTTTTTTAGCATTATTAACAGCCTAGTAGATCAAAAGCATTGGTTCATGAATTTGGTGACAGTAATTGTGAGTTCAAGCCCTGGGATGGTCACTGTGTACTTGGATTCAGTGGGGATAGGGTGAGCAATAACTGAGCAGTACAAAGTAAGTACAAGACACCATATCACTAGACATGGGCAGTTAAATGAGAAAAGTCTACTCCTATAGATTAGCACCTGATGAAGGCCAGAGGACACAATGATGAAAATGTGATAATAACAACAAAGATGAGGACAATAGTTCAAATGTAAATAGTGTAAGTAACTCCCCATCCCAGAAATTACAACTTAGAAATAGAACAAAAAGTAATGATGCACTGTAGAATTTATTTATTTTTCTAATTGCCATGTCATAAATTCACTTCACTTATGGCTCTTGCATGAAAATTATCTTTTGGTAAGGTTGGTTAGTTATATGGTATGTCATACATAATTAATCAAGTGTATATAATGGGACAATTTTGTTTCTTTTTCTTCCAGTTTAGATCTATCAGTCAAAGTACCGGTGTGTGGTTCCAATATAGTCCCTAATGTGGCAAGCTTCACCTATAGTGGCAAATCCAGTTCAGAATTCTATGTCTTCATTGGAGTCATGGCCTTCCTGTACTGCCTTGCTGCACTTGTCGTATATGTCTTCTTTGATGAAGTATACCGCAAGAACACCAGACTGACCATCATTGTAAGTTTCAATTTTCTTTTTATCATTTAAAGCACATTCCTATCATACACCATTTTTTTTCTTTGCTTTTGTTTCTTTGATAACTGTCACTTCTAAGTTGACATATAAAGACAGGTTTGATGATAATCTCTTTAGAATACTTGGCTACATTTGCATGTAGAGACATTGGATTCAGTAAGAAAACTTTATTAACTGACCCATTTTTACAGAGACAAGCATGTCTGATTTATAAAATCTTTCTAGATTCTTTGCTTTGATAGAATTCTGGAGTGAATTGCACATTGATTGTTTTCTGATGTTACAAATGAACATCATTGTTTACACTTGACTTTGTATTCAATATATGACTGAATTTAAGTAATAAATCTGTGTTCCTGCATCTGTATTGTACTTGAAAAAAAAAATATTTTGCCATTCCTGTAAAGAGTTTTCATTATTTTCCATGACATAAATGAATGATGACAGACTATTATGGTTTTGTTTTTTTCAGAAGCTGTAAGAAAAGATTTGTTTCTTTTTTTTACTTTTATGGATAAAGATGCCCTGATATTGCTGAATGTTTTAGTCTTTATCTCATTTCTCTGTTTTCAGGATTTCATAGTGACAGCAGTATTTGCTCTAATGTGGTTGATATCTTCCTCTGCATGGGCCCAGGGTGTGACCGACCTCAAGTACTATTCAGATCCAACTGATGGCATATTCCTGAAACTCAAAGAATGTGACATGATCTATAATAATTATACCATCACCTGCACACCTACAGTAAAACCCAACTTTTCTACTTTGGATGTCTCCATTGTAAGTGATTTACAAATGTGTTTATATTATAAATTTTATAATGAAAGATTAATTACTATATTTTTAATGTTAGAAATAGAGATTCAAACATTTTAAAATATGTTTGCACTATGCTTGAAAGAATAATCATCTCTTTGTATTCAAAAGGAGTATTTTTCATCATATTTCCACTGAGAACATTTTTTTTTTTTTTTTTTTAAATCTTAGCATGAATTTTAGTTAATATTCACTTCCTGAAATGTTAATTTTGTTCCATGTTTTAATATAACAATTTTAATAACAAATCTTTCCTACAATTAGTAACATTATTCTACAAAGCAAACAAAAATCTTTCATTCAGAAATTCTCTTAACCCTTAAGTGCAGATGATAGGAATTTCCATATTGCACATCTTTGGCTCAATTGCAAAATATCAAAATCTTGGTCTCTTTGAGATCAATTGTCATTAGAACTCATTTCCAAGTGTTAAGGTGTTCATCAACATTTCCTTCTGTGTGAAATGAGTCCTATGTTGGATTTGAAAAGACATTTGCAGCCACCATAGGGTAGTTAGGTTCAAGGGATGGAAAGCTCTGGCTTTTCTTTGGGCTCTCTTCATCTCTTCTATTTGTCTTCTGGTGTTTTTGAAGGATGTTATTTTTTCATGGAGTGCTTTTCTCCAATTGATTCTTTAGATGTGATAAGAAGAAAAGTCTTTGAGCAAGAAGAGCCTTGGCTGTGAATTGTTTGAGGTGGTCCATAGGTTGCCACTTCATGGCATGCACACACACACACACACACACACACACACTTCAGCTAACACCAGTTGCAGCAAATCAGGGCTTGACAGGCTCTTCCTGGAATCCTTACCATGGGTGACCCTACCAGGAGACAGCTCCTGATGACATGTCATCCAGGTTCCACCAGATATGCAAGCACCTCCACTATATATTACACATTATATCTATTATGTGTTTTAGAAGCTCAAAAAAACGGGATTAATAAGCAAAGTATGAAAAAATTCATTAGAAACAAAAAGTGCACTGAACTGTTACATAATAGTCCTCCTATATGACAGTGAATGTAAGCCAACTTTCTCAAAGCAGTCCATTTCATACTAAATGCAATCGATTGGGTTTAGCATGAAATAAATAATTTCCTTTTCTTAGGCATATGTAAAAACTGCAAGAGACTTGATTTGCCTGCCATATTTTATTATCAAAATTCTAATAAGTTTTATTTTCTTTTACTAAAGTATCTTTTCTTTTCCAGATTTTTGGTTTCCTGAACACTTTTGTATGGATTGGAAATTTGTGGTTCTTGTACAAGGAGACCCCATGGTTCATGGTTCAAGCTGCCCCACCCATGGATCCGGGGATGCCACAAGAAACAGATCCACAGAGAGTGTAAATGCGCAAAAATGTAGAGGAGGCAGTTTCATGTTGTACAGTCCTGTATCAACCTGCCTCCTTGTTATTATAGTACGCAGAAGAAAGACAGTTAGTGAGAAAAACAACTACTACACAATACGTGATATGCAACCAGTGTGCATTGAATAATATTAAATTATTTTTTTTTTTTTTTTATTTAAGTTATGAACTTTTTTTTTTTTTTTTTTAAGTCTTGTGTTTCAATGGAAAAAAAAATAGTGCTAAGTATTTCTGGCAATGACCAACTTCCAGTTGTAAACAGAATTGGCTCTTTTTGTCTAAGGACTAAGCATTATCAATAGCAGGAGGCTAATAATATCTATGCATTTATACCTTATCAGCCGTCAGTATGTGTTGTGCCTTGCTAGCTATTTCTCTCTGCCTCCATCAAGAGAGAGATGGAAAGGCAACACCATTCTGAAAACAAGTATTGCTACAACCTTTCAAATGAAATCTATACAAATTTGCTGTTCTTTGCATTATCAAGCATTATTCCTATTCTCCTGGTGGCTTTTATTTGCTTTTGAAGGATAATGTTTCCTGCAATCATCCTTAGTTTGGTCTTCTTGGAAAACAACTGCTCACATGCAAGCACTAGATGTTTTCCATGTGTACAGCAAATAGGCTAGAGATGAGAAAAGGAATAAAGAGATACAGGTAAATAAATTTGTCTTCTCTCTGCTCCTTTTTTTTTTTTTTTTTTTTTTTTCTCTGTCCGTCCAGTAGGTAAAGAGATAAATCCCTTTCTTTACAATGGAGGACAGACCGAAAAAATGTGTAAGGCTTCTTTCACTCAATAATACCTACTCGCAGCAAGTGACCTGTTACTTATTAACTTTCATCAAAGGAAAACCAATTATTCATTTGCAATATTTTGATTTAATCTTCCAGTTATTTAAAATGCTTTTTGTGTCAATGATTATTGTTAATCTTTGTTAGAAAACAAAAACATCATTCCTTGTATTAAACTTATTAAAATAAAAATTGGAAAATTTTTTTAGTAACAATGGTGTAAAATAACTAATGGGTAAAAGACTACCTATCCACATAAATATACATTTACATACTTTATCATTTCTTTTGCCCGCCATCAATATATTTTTAAATGCTTAGACTAAGTCATTTGATCACATTGAATCAGAAAGTGATTTATAAATTATTCAGTGCCTAGATCTTTCTCCTCCCTTTCATTTGCTATATTTTTCATAAATTCTGATGGCTTGTACAATAATTATTTCAATTTTCATGCCTCTACCATTTGTCTATCAATCAACATAGGAATTCTCTTCTTCATTAATACCCACCAGAGTAATTGGGTGAATAAGCCTGTGTTGATTACCTAATCTTTTTTTATCTTTTGTTTTCTGTCCTTCAAAAGAAGGATCCATTTTCGCACCTCTAGGAATTTATATTTTTTTTTTTTTTTTGTAATTCCTTGTTTTGGTTTGTCATACTGCACTTGTCAAATAAAGTGTCAGTTCTTTCTGGAAACAAAGGTTTTATTTTTATTTTTTATTTTGTTTTTTTATATGGTTTGGAATTTATTTCATTTTTTAAAATTTTTGTGTTGAAACAACTGCCATCACAGACTGTCCCTACTAATCTTTATTTTCTGACATTTTTTTTCCAGCTGACATAAAAAAATCATGTGTTAAGATTTTGTAAGGTACCATCAGGATTTTGAAAAAAAAACAAAATTTCACTTTAAAATTTGCTCCATCAAACTCTTTTTGAAAGCCATTTCTTTGTTTTTGATCATTTCTAATTCAAACCTTGCAAAAGTCTGTTAAGGGCTTTGTGCTTTGACATTAATGATAGCCTGAAATGTCCAGTCTGTGTTGGCAGTGAAATGAGGTGCTTAGGTAGGACATTACGTCTTACATAAAAATCTCTGCTATTCTGGGATACCAATATTTCTTGATTAAGATCTATGATTACAATTTTGTTTCTTTAATTAGTAACTAATGTTCTCTTTAGTTATTTCTTTGTTTTTTTTTTTTTTATGCACAGGACATTTCTATATATCACTGTGATGGTAAAAGGCAGATTATCCTAATTTTATCATCTAACTGAAACCATTTCAATCCTGATATTTTTCTTGAAGTTGGTCAAAACATTTTTCATAGTATAGAATATATTTAATTGCACCAAAATCCTTACCCAACTAATACATAACTGCCTGCCTCTCTCCTGTTTATATATATATATATATATATATATAATTTTTTATTTTTTTTTTTTTTTTATAATTTCTAGATCACACTGGTTGCTCCTGCAAATATTGAATTATTCACATGTCTTCATGATTTGCGTAACATAATGCTAAAAATGGAATTTTGAAACAGTCTTGTTTCTTCTTCACCTCTAACATAACTTGAACAGCAGCACTGGTTGCATGATACAAAGATTATAAATCTTTTATTCACCTTTCAAAATGTCTGCTTCATTATCAGTCAATTGGTAATATTTTTGCAATTCACATTTGAACAGGAAAAAAAAACATTTTGCAGGATTCTAATCATTAATTTGTTTTGATTTTTTTTTTTTCTCTTTTATACAGGCACTTCAAACATACCTGTTTCAGGTACAGATTTTTAAAGATCTCATATTTTTAAACAGCTATGAAGAGGAGGTTATGAATGCCTCTGTAAAATTGAAAATGCTCATTAATACTATCTTTTTGCCTGGAAGGATTTTCTTTATATGTTGTCATAATTATTTTTTCTTCCAAATCATCAGTGATTATACTATCACCATTTTTAGCAAAAAAGATGTATTCAAGTGCTATTTTGAATTTTATAAACCACTGCTGTTCTTCAAGTCTTTGTATGTGATACGTTGTTGATTATCTTCTAACTCTTTGACAGCAATAAATAGAATTGTCCAAAGGATATAAATTCAGAATATGTAAAATGTTAAGAGGTGACCCATGTCCCCTCCCTCATCCACAAGTAAAGGGAAGCGATATGTCCTCCCACAATCGTTTATGTTAAAGCATTGTTGTTATTTCTTAGATACTTAATAATGGGTAGCACTTGTTTCTCTACCTGTGAACAATGTTCAATCGGTCAGTTAAGTATCTGTCTTTCAAGGTCAAGTGTGAAGTTGTAGATAATAGCCAAGATTTATGCAATGTTCCTTTTTAGAATCATTGAATCAAGCAGATAGAAGTCAGTGAGAAAAAAGAAAACAAAGGGGCAGGGAGGTTTCTGGGAAGCAAATAAGAATAAATTATTTTATCCCCCCCCCTACTGACCACCAAATCCTCCATATATTTTGGTGAACCTCTATACCTCCACCCTTCAGAAAAGCTGACTTACAAGGGAGCAAACTTAGTGGTGTCGTGGTTGGTTGTGTAGATGTAATGTTTTTATTTAGTCATCTAAAGAAAAAAAAAAAAAACTTCTCAAAAATTAAAAAAAAAAAAAAAATTACTGAGACTATCCCTTTGAATTCTAAAAACAACAAAAAAAGTTTTTATTAAATAAAACCTCTGTGTTACATTGCTTAGAGATGTTGGTTTGTTTATGATATCAGTCACTGAAATATTTGAAAAGCCATTTTGAACTTCATTAAAAAAAAAAAAAAAAAAAAAAAAAAAGAAATAAATGAAAAAAATTTAAAAATAATAAATTGAGTAGTTTCTGAATAATCTGCTTAAGTGGTTTGCTTTTTCAGGTTCCCTGTTGTCACTAGCTTGCTCTAATCAGCCATGTTGTACACCAAAAAGGTGTGGCTTAATTCCACAAAATAGTCACTTGCACTTGGCTCCAGCTTCATCTCCAAGTCCAGGTAGATTCTTTACCTAGTGGCTTTTGAAAGAACTCCAATAGCAACTACAGCAGGTTGTGTAGTTTTGATTTCTTCAACTCATCGTCTGGTAGGAATGTTCTTGGTAGTATGAAAAATTTTTTCTCTTACTCATTCCTGTGCTCTATCATAAAGGGCTTCTTAGTGAAATAGTTCTTTTTGTGTTGTTCCTAAAACTGAAAACGACAAAGGCCAGACACCAGCTCCTTTATTTTCTCCCCTCTTTTCTTGGTCTCCCTGGGCTGGAACCTTTTTTTTTTTGTGGGCAGAGGGACATTATCATAATCTAGTTGTATTTGTATGAATATGTCAGGTAGGTTCTGCTAGTTCATTAGAAAGTTTTTGAAAACATAAAATGGTTGAAAGTTCTGTTTTATATGCTTTAAAAATACATACAATAAAAAGGCTCTCTCCTATTCATATATATAAATATATAAAAACATAATTTGATAGATGTTTACCAAATTTAGTCATTTTCTTCAACAGTAGTCCCAGATGAATGGTTACATTTTAAATATATTTTTCTTTTTGTGCCATGACATCTTTTTCACTCTTCTGTTTCTATATAGAAACATATGGAACTTTCTCATGAAACATCTTTCAAAAGGCTTCATCTTTGTTTATAAAACTATCTTACTTCTGTTAAGTTAACCATTCCACTTTGCCACCAAGTCCTCATGTAAAAAAAAAAAAAAAAATAAATCCTTGAACATGTAGATTGATTTACAGACAGACACACAGCCAGGCAGGTTATCGTGCACTGATCCTGATTTTGGTCCATTCCTTGCAGAGGAAATTCGACCATTATTCTATATTTGTATGTGGCCAAAATCTCACCACCACCTATCTAATGCTCAAAGGGCACAGTATTTTCACTTGCAAGTTCATTAGGGAAGAGATAGGTAAGATACATTCCTACCAAAATGTGAGCCCTGATTTTTACTTTAGTTGATTTTGTATTTCATCCAAAGTTTGGAAATTTAGTAGTCAAAATAATAGGTTATTTACTTGAAAACATAGCACTTAAAAAAGAAAAACACTAAATTTTGTAAAATTGTATACATTATCTTTAAAAGTTCAATATTTTGATAATTTCTGATTTTTTTTTTTTTTTTGTCTAAAGAGAAAATGCAATTATAAAAAATGCCTTAAGATTGTAATGGTTTATCA